AATAAGCACTATTAGGAATAACATCTTTTGACCTATCTATAAGGCAGGGAAAACTTTACTAAATATCTGCTGTTCTTACCCATTGAAGCGCCTCATCCCTAGCTCTGAATGTCACGTATATCCATGTTCCCTTTCTATCTCTGAACCTCAGTGCGGGGGAGGGGGGGGTGCAGGGTTCCCCATACATATGTATGTATTAAATTTGGTTATTTTCTCTTGCTAATAAGCCCTCATATCTATTTGGTTATTAGACCAGTCAGAAGAACCTTGAGGGCAGAGGAAATTTTCTTCCTCCCCCACATAAGCTCAAAGGAAAGGAAATAGATGTCTAATTACTTCATTTTGTTTCCCACTCCCCAATTATTTCCAATCATTTGCCATCTCCTAAGTAATTAAAGCACTTCCTCCCCCTTAATATTTGATAATGTCAACTACCCAATTTTAGAAATCTCACTTGTATAATGTTCTATATTCCTTTTCTATCTCCTTCACTGTCTCCCTTTCGTACTCCTCTCTACCTGCAGAATTTCCTCAAGTCTGATGTGTCTTCTCCCTTACTACTGTATCTCTGCTACCTTATCCTCTTCCTGGGCTTCAAGTATCAACAGCATAGAAATGGCTTCAAAACTTGATCTCTGTGCCCATCCTGTCCTATGCCCCGCCTTTACTGCTAACTCCAATGATCTCCAAAAAACCATGGGGTTTTCCCCCAAATTTCAAGCAAATTAAATTTCCTTCCACCCCAAAACTTTTTTCTCTGGTTTCTCATCAGAATGATTTCACTAAATTTCCATCAAAGCTCAAAGTCCTCTCTTTGTCTCTATGCACCAATGCTCCTTTTCACCCCTTAGTCCCCTTTCAATAACAGATAAAATACCGACTCCAGCCTTTAGAACAGTGGTTCTCAACCTTCCTAATGCCGCGACCCTTTGATACAGTTCCTCATGTTGTGGTGACCCCCAATTTCATTGTTACAAATTGAACATAATTAAAGCATAGTGATTTATCACAAAAACAATATGTAATTATATATGTGTTTTCCGATGGTCTTAGGCGACCCCTGTGAAAGGGTTGTTCAACCCCCAAAGGGGTTGGGACCCACAGGTTGAGAACTGCTGCTTTAGAGCATTAATGTATGATAGACACTTAATAAATATTAAACCATTTAACTGAGCTGCTTAAAATAAGTTTTTGTTTTCTTACTGACTATGAAATAAACTTGATTTTGCCTGGAGATGCAGACTCCAATTTACTTTTCTTTTTCTTCTCCTTTTTGTTTTTGTTTTGTTAATCCTCATCTGAATATTTTTTTCATTGTTTTTTTTTTCTTTTTTAGAGAGTGGAAGGGAGGTAGGAAGAGAGACAGAAAGAGAGAGAGAGAGGGAGAGAGAGAGAAACATTGATGTGAGAGAGATACATTGATTGGTTGCCTCTCACACATGCCCCAACTGGGCCTGGGAGTCGAACCTGCAACCCAGGGACATGCTCTTGATTAAGAATTGAACCAGACCCTTTGGTCCGTGGGTGATGCTCTAATCTCTGAGCCAAACCAGCCAGGGTTCCAATTTATCTTTCAATTCAATCCCTAAACATTCACAGAATACCCTCTAGACACAAGTCTACTAGGCATTATTAAAACTATGAAAATGGCCCTGACCAATTTGGCTCAGTCATTAGAGTGTTGGCTTGTGAACTGTAGGGTCTTGATTCGATTCCAGTCCAGGGCAAGTACCTCGGTTGCAGGCTCGATCCCCAGTCCAGGCGTGTGTGGGAGGCAACCAGTCGATGTGTCTCTCTCACATCAATATTTCTCTCTGTCTCTCCTCCCTTCCATTCTCTTTAAAAAATCAATGGAAAAAATGTCCTTGGGTCAGGGTTATCAAAAAACAAAATAAAAAACTATGAAGATTAATGAGATGCTATTTATGAGTTTACAATTTAGTGAAAGACACTGACACATACTAGTAAAGAGAGAGTTCATTGAGATATTGAATACCTCCACGTGCCAGGCTGTTGTAAATGCCGAAAATGAACAAAACAATAAAAAACTCCTTTTTTATCAGCAATAATAAGTCATACTGATATCATGCACCCCCTAACAGACAATGAAAAGAATCAGTAGGCTAATAGATGCATTTGTGGGTTTAGTTTGCAACAGGGTCTCCTATCCAGCCCCTCTAGGACCAAATCCATCTCACTCAGACCATCTTGAAGGAAATGCATCATATGAAAGCCCTCAAAGCATGCCAGCCACTTGTTGAATCACTAGCTCTGACCTGGAACACACCCATGAGGAAGGCGACACTCTGACAGTGCTGGTCATGTGAAGGACGTGACTCAGGCTGTTCTCAGCAGGAAACCTGTTCTTCCTATGAGGTAGCATACCTTTCTGAACATGCTCAGCAATCCTGGAGGCCAGCCCTTTCTCCCTGATTGCTATTTGTTTTATTCCTTTGAAGCTACAGAGAGCTTCCGGACTGATAAGGGGGTTTGAGAATTGACCCATCAACCATCAGCCAACCATGTGATGGAAGGTGTGTTGACCGAAGTAGCCATCCTGTTTCTGTTGATGACCTCCAGGCAAATGTGATATACATCATTAGCACAGAAGAAA